TTTTTCTTATAGCCTTCATCTAATCTATCACCAAATACTGTTGGGTTTACATTAAAAATAAATCTAGAATCCAACCATTTATCATTTATTTCCATTGTTATCTTCCTTATGTGAGTCACTATCATCTTTTTCCTGGATTACTGTACTATAAAAACTTCCTAACAGGTCTCCTTGGTCCTCTTATGGTCTAGTCTCTATACCAGGGGTGGGCAAACTTTTTGACTCGAGGGCCACAATGGGTTCTTAAACTGGACCGGAGGGCCGGAACAAAAGCATGGATGGAGTGTTTGTGTGAACTAATATAAATTCAAAGTAAACATCATTACATAAAAGGGTACGGTCTTTTTTTTTTTTTAGTTTTATTCATTTCAAACGGGCCAGATCCAGCCCGCGGGCCGTAGTTTGCCCACGGCTGCTCTATACAACAGTCAGAGCATTTCATTAAATGAGAGTCAAATCATGTCACTGCTGTTAACAACACTCTAATGCAGGGGTCCTCAAACTTTTTAAACAGGAGGGCCGGACTATAGTTTAAAAAAAAAAACTATGAACAAATTCCTATGCACACTGCACATATCTTGTTTTGAAGTAAAAAAACAAAACGGGAACAAATACAATATTTGTATTTGCATGTGGCCCGCGGGCCGTAGTTTGAGGACCCCTGCAATGGTTCCCCATTTCATTCAGAGTAAAAGTCAAAGTCCTTTCACTGGCGTATAAGGATCTACATAGTCCAGATTCTCCATTACCTTTCTGACTTCAACTCTTACTAATCCCATTTCACTCTAAGCTTACTGCCTTCCTTGCTGTTCCTGGTACCTACCTTAGGGTATTTGTATTGGCTTTTACCTCTGCCTAGAATACTCTTTGCCTTCACTGCCCATCCTGTATATTGATAAGGCTAAGTCACCAATTTCAAGTCTTTGCACAAATGTCATCTTCTCAATGTGACCTATCTGCATTACCCTATTCAAGATAAATCAATCCAGCCCAATCGCACTCCTGATCTTTTTTAAAAATAAATTTTATTGATTTTTTACAGAGAGGAAGGGAGAGAGATAGAGAGTCAGAAACATCGATGAGAGAGAAACATCGATCAGCCGCCTCCTGCACATCCCCCACTGGGGATGTGCCCGCAACCCAGGTACATGCCCTTGACCGGAATCGAACCTGGGACCTTTCAGTCTGCAGGCCGACGCTCTATCCACTGAGCCAAACCGGTTTCAGCACTCCTGATCTTTTTTATTCTGTTCTAGTTTTCCATATTATCTATTAAGTTCTAATGTATTATACAAATTTGCTTATTTATTGCTTGTTGTTTATTATCCTCTCTCCTCCTGCCTAAACATATAAACTCCAAGAAGGCATATCACTGTTTCATTTACTTAGTTATCCCAAGAGACTAGAACAGTACCTGGCACATAGTAGGTACTCAATAAATATTTGCTGAATGAGTGATAAAGGGTGTCCCAAAATTCACGCAAGAAGTAATTTTGATAAAAAAAACACAGGTATATAATTAAAAATTGTAAATTTTTATTGATTCATAAAGTATACAGTAT